TTGAGCTGAGGGACAGCGCCCAGGCCCAGAGTTCAGGTCCCATGACCGAAAACAGCAACAACAACAACAAAAAAGAAAGAGAAAGAGAGAGAGAGAGAGCTGGGTGCTTGTGGCTCATGTCTGTAAATTTTAACTCAGGAGGCTGAGATCTGAGAATCATGGCTCAAAGCCAGGCAGAAAAGTCTGTGAGACTTTTTATCTCCAATAAACTACTCAGACAAAGCTGGAAGTGGTGCTGTGGCTCAAATGGTAGAGCATTAACCTTGAGCAAAAAAAGCTCGGGGACAGGACCTCGGGCTTAAGTTCAAGCCCCAGGACTGGCGTATACACGTATATACATGTATACACACACACACACTAAAAATAAACATGCACATTGAGAATAAAATCTCACAAACCCCCCATCAGAGCATGAGAGCAGACCTACATAGGGCATTTTACCACACTTAAAAGAGAGGCATTCATGGTCTTTCTTCAAAGCAGAATGAGGCCCTGGATCTAGTTCAGGCAGTTAGCAATGAAGCATCTCCTGAGAAACTAATCAGAAACAATGAGAGGAAATCAATGGATCCTAAGTTTCTGGATCCTCCTCAAAGTGTTGAACGGTGCTAACCAGCGTGTCCTGGCAGCTGGCTTCCTCTTCTCCCAGTCCCTATGGGTCCTTCACCAGGGACTAGGAATGAGCGCTTGATGTACGCTGAGTCACCAAGATCTGCCTTGATCTGGGCCACACAGGTGTTGTCAGTCAGACGTGGAAAAGTAGATGATAAAACCCCCAGCTATGTTGTGTATGACAGCAGAGACACTGCAGATATCAGGAAGAATAAAGGAGAGAAGTAGGCTGAGGAACCGGATACAGACATATGGACTCAGAGACAGACACAGCAACTGAGCAACATGGGTTTCTGCTTCTAGTCCTTGCGTTCTGCAAGCCAGCGCAGACCCTGCTAGTGTGTTCCTCTTTGACAACCAAGTCGCCGGGAAAGATGAAACATGGTTAACACTAGTCCACCTGCCAGGCACAGAGATCATAGAGTAATTCTAAGACACACAAGGAAGAGGCTCAGGGCCTCATGTCTGCTTCCCTGGCACTTAGCACTTGAATCACAAACCCCACCTTTCTTTTTTTTGGGCCAGTCCTGGGGCTAGAACGGAGGGCCTGGTCTCTGTCCCTGAGCCTCTCTGTGCTCAAGGCTAGCACTCTACCACTTGAGCCACAGTGCCACATCCAGCCTTTTCTGTGTGTGAGGTACTGAGGAATGGAACCCAGGACTTCATGCTAGGCAAGCGCTCTACTGGTGAGCCTGACTTTTTGTTTTGCTGGTCATTTTGGAGATGGAGTTTTCCTGGGCTGAGTGTAACCCTCGCCCCTCCAGTTCTCCGACAAGCTGGGCCGGCCTGCCTCTTCTTCTACAGCCACACAAGCTTACTTTTGCTGCTCCAACCGAAGCTGCTCCTCTTCTGTTCGCCGCCTGTCCTCTTCCTCCCGCCTCAGCCTCTCCTCTTCCTCCCGCCTCCGTCGCTCTTCCTCCTTTTGAAGGCGCTCTTTTTCTTCCTCCTCACGGCGCCTCCGCTCCTCCTCTTCCTTCCTATGTGGTAAAGAACAGCGAATGACCCTTCCACAGTCAGTCTTATTTTTTCAATAACCTAAATTTCATTTCCTAGTGAAAATCTCTAGAGAATAATGTGGCGATCTCCATCAAAATGTAAAAGACATACTCTCCATTAGTACAAGCTTACCAGAGTCAATCTCGTAAGATTATATGAGGAAGAATAGTTATTGTTATATAGCAACAGAAAAAGGTATCAATGAATAAGACACTACCTTAAATCACTATGATATACTTATACCTTCACAGATAAATACTGACAGCATTGAAGCTTTGCCTGGAGCTGGGAAGGTGGCTCAGTGGTAGAGTGCTGGCCTAGCATGCAGGAAGCCCTGGGTTTGATTCCTTAGTACCACATACACAGAAAGAGTCGGAAGTAGCGCTGTGGCTCAAGTAGTAGAGTGCTAGCCTTGAGCAAAGAAGCTCAGGGACAGTGCCCAGGCCCTGAGTTCAAGCCCCAGGACTGGCCCCAAAAAAGCTTTGCCTTCATAATACCTGTTGCAGTTATAGTTAGATGTATGTGACAAATTTAGCAATCCAACTGCCTTACCCATTAGAGAAAAAGCTCCACGGCACTTGGGATGTAGCTGAGTGGTAGAGCACTTGCCTAGCACACACAAGGCCCCAGGTTCCATCCCTAGCACATGTAAACACACACACATACACACACACACACACACACCCTACATCCCCCTTCCTCCAAAAAAGTACTCATGGTATGTGCTCTGTAAAGACGTAAGTCTGCGGTTCTCACATCACTACATTCTCCTTGGGCTCACCCAGGCCCAGAGTTCAGGCCCCATGACCAACAAAAAAAGAAAGAAAGAAAGAAAAAAGGAGAATGTTCATCACTTTTATAATAAATTGAAATTTTTTAAGAAATTAAAAAGTAGCTGGGTACTGGTGGCTCACACCTGTAATTCTAGCTACTCAGGAGGCTGAGATCTGAGGATGACAGTTCAAAGCCAGTCCAGTCAGGAAAGTCAGTGAGATTCTTATCTCCAATTAAACAACAGAAAACCAAATGGCGCTATGACTCAAGTGGCAGAGTGCTAGCCTTGAGCTGAAGAGCTCAGGGACAGCACCCAAGCCCAGAGTTCAAGCCCCACAACTGACAAAAAAATAAAATAAAAATTCATGGACCTTCCTTCCCAGACTCTGAACCACAATCCTCAGATCTCAGCCTTCTGAGTAGTTAGGACTACAAGTGAGAGCCTCCAATGCCAGGCTTTCTGTCACACACTTCAAGATTGGTGTGAGCAGTGTACTTGTAGGAACAGACCACAGCAACCGAGGGTCCAATGTCAGTGTGATCTCAAAAGAAACCTTCAACATGGAGGAGCCAGCCAGGCCAGGAAGAACCCTTGAATGCCAACGTGACTAGCCACCTCACCTCCTTGGCACTAACAAATAATCTCCCTCCAGTTTCTCTTGTTATTCTTCATCCAGTTTAATGCAGAAAGACAGAGAACTAACTGCTTTTAAAGTATATAATTTGTAAAAACTGGCTTTATTGTGTATCTAGAAAATTTAGATGGCCAAAGTTGTTTCAAATGTAACTTCTAGATGTGTTCATGGTAATCCTATTCACAACAACAGTGGAATCTCATTAACATAAACATCATACTCAGCAGATCCTCCCCCAACACTGAAAATAAGTAACAAGCCACCTGGAAGCCAAAGCCAATGTTTGTCTATACAGTGCCTACCATGCAGAACATGAAAACTATGAAATGGAGAATGACTATGCCGGAAGCTCAAGGCAGACAGCAGCAGTGTCAAAACACAGACAGGGAGGAGCAATGGTTGCGTTAATGGTGGACTGTGTTCAGAAACTTAGTTTACTAAAAGTCATGCTACTGAGATGGATAGGTAGTTTCTTCTACAAGTGCCTTACAAGCCATAAGGAAGTAGTCTCCTCCCTTCCCCTCCCCAAACTCATTCTATAAATACCTGTTCTAATCAGGAGTTTGAAAACTGCCCTAAGAAATGAGGAGCTGAGGGGAAAGAAAATACCTACAGTAAAGCAAAAGCATCAGCACGCTGGTTGTGCAGGGATAAAACACTCCACACCCTCAAACGTCACCTTTTTTTTTCTTGCTCTTCCTTCTCTATTTTGTGGGATGTAACATATGTTGAAAACAGATGGCAACACATATTTAAGAGCTTGACAAACTCTACCATGGCATCCTCTTTGGACAAGCTTCCCAGAGCTGCCCATTCTCTCCTGTAAAGAACAATAAGAAAAGTGACCTCCCCTTCTTTATAGAATGATAACTTGATTTAAATCTACATACAGAACTCTTGATTATAACTAAAACGAACCAGAAAGATAGAGCTCAAAAGTCAAATTTCAACAAGCATATATTGACTTACTAGATTGAGTTATGCTATACACAATTCAAAATCTCAAGTATATTATTGATAATGTGTGTGTGGCAAAAAATAACTACATGTTAATTTCCTTACACTGTATTTTAGCCTTAAACTGAAAAACATATTCAATGCATTCTTTTCTGGTACAATTCTCTAGCTGTCTAAATAAAGGAATCAAATATCATATAGTTTAAGTATTCATTTTTAACATCACTTAGGAAGAGTCAAATAGAATAAGACAAATATATTGTCCTGTGTTCAGTCACATTAAGTAGACAGTCCTTCAATATTTAACTATAAACAACTCCAAGACAAAAACAAACATCTGAAGACTCCAGAAGCTGGAAGCAAATTTGTTTCAGTTCTTATCCTAAGTCAAGGAGCAAGCCATTTATATCACAACAAAACCACACTGTACCCTTTCTCAACATTATTTTATTACATTCAATAAGCCACAGAACAGTTACCTCCTGTCATTTCCCAACACATCAAAGAATCCAACCTCGGGACAAGTGTCTGGATTGTATGGACCCAAAAGAACCTGCTTGTGCAGTGCCACAAGCTTCAGCTTTTCTTCGTAAGTCGGATGAAAGGCTTTGCCATCTTTCTCTGTAAGAAAAGAAATAACAAAATCAGTATTGGCACAACACAGTGTGCAGCACACTGTGCCACAACCTGCAGAAGCAACTGCAGACGTCATCATAGTAAGGCTTAATGTTAACAGTCAAGACTGAAACAGACAGCCATGGTGCTGAATTCCATTCTGCTTCCTTTCGGGTTCATGTGAGGAGGCCTCACTACGTCACTCAAGCTGGCCTCTAATTTACTATCCTCTCCTTCAGTCTCCAGAATGCTAAAAGTCTAGGCTTGCACCACCATGACCTATTTACTTTTTTTAATTACACAAACTACCATTATTTAAGTTGAAGCTACAAGAGAAAAACCCATCTGTCAAGCTGCTGTCAAGCACAAACACTAACACTTTTGACACACAAAAAGCAACATCCAATAGCCATTTTGTTCATAACCAAGAATTTTTTTTTTTTTTGGTGGGTCGTGGGGCTTGAACTCTGGGCCTGGGCGCTGTCCCTCAGCGCTTCAGATCAAGGCTAGCGCTCCACCACTTGAGTCACAGTGCCACTTCTGGCTTTTTCTGTGTATTGTGGTGCTAGGAATCAAACCAAGGGCCTCATACATGTGAGGCAAGCGCTCTACCACTGAGCCACCTTCCTAGCCCCAGTACCCAAGAATTTCATCAGACACAATTTGGTACCAATGCCAGGTGCCTAGCACTGTGCCCCAACCAAAAGAGAAGGGCTTCACCCCAGAATCCTCAGGAAGGAGAACTTACAATGAAACACTCCACCGAGTTACTACATAGCTGACCAAAGTTACTATAGGGATGGTCCACAGACTTGTGAACAGGTCAAATCTTTTATAAACATCCAGTGAAAAGAAAAATGACAACTCTAAGTCTTTTTTTTTTTGCCAGTCCTTGGGGCTTGGGTGCTATCCCTGAGCTGCTTTGGTTTAAGGCCAGCACGTGAGAGCCCCAACACCACTTCCGGCCTTTTCTGCGTACGTGGTATTGAGGAATTGAACCTGGGGCTTCACACATGCGAGGCAGCACCCTACCACTGAGCACCTATTCCCAGCCCTCTAATTCACCTTTATATGCAGGTGTCCACACACTACGGTAATGGGTGGGAGGCCAGAGACCAGGACAGGAGATGAAAGGGCTTAGCTATCCACTGCACAGGATTTCAGGGGCCCGTTGGAGGTGTCAGGTCACCAAGCATTTAGAAGACTGACTGTGGAGGAGCAGCTGCCTGTTCACTCTGAAATGAAGAGGGCCGGCAGGCTCGGAACGGCTGCTCTGACATGTTAGACCATAGAGCTGAGCACCTCCACAAAGGTGCTGATCAGGGTCATGTGTCCACAAACAGCTGGGACTGCTGGGAAGTGCCCAGAGCTGATGGCAAACCCGCTGCCAGGCTGCTAAGACCATGCTCCAGCCAGTTCCCAGCGGGAGGAAACTCACAGAGGAGCTGGTGGTAACAGCTATGCCCCCGGGCTGACAGACTTTATGATCGGGTACTGCTGTGTTGATGGTGGCACCCAGGGCACTGAAGGAGGCCCTAGCCAAGGAGCACAGCACAGACGGGGCTGCTCTGGGCTCATGGTGGGAGGCCAGGGGCTAGCTGGACAAGGATAAATATAGCTCATCGCAAAGACACGAGACCAGGAAAAAGATGGACGTGAGTAAGAGGCAGAGCACCAGCAGCTGTGAGTGAGCTCACGGCAGAGCATTCAACCCTCAGTGTGGGGGAGAGAGTTGTGGAAGGAGGGAAGGGAGGGGGCGCAACGGGACGACACGGTGATGTACCCCTATAATCACAGCATGTGGAAGGTTTTAATCCTAGTGAGATCTGAGGGTCGAAGTTAGCCCAGACACCACAGTCCATAAGATTCTCTCTCATCTCCAATTAACCATCAAATAAATAAATAAATAAGCTGGAAATGGCATGTGGCTCAAGTGGTAGAGTACTGGCCTTGAGCGAAAGAAGCTCAGGGACAGCGCCCAGGCCTGGCCCAAAAAACAAAAAACAATTATCAATAAAACATAACCTTAAATATTAATGATTATAATACTGATTATATTAGAAAGACTGGATCAAGTAATCTTATTTTTCGTTTTCCAAAATTTTCTTCAATAAGTATATACTTTTTTTTAAAGCAACACTTCTAATCCCAGGACCACCAAAAAAAAAAAAGCTCAAAGCATGGTTAGGTATATTTCAGTGGTAGAACATCTACTTAGTGCATACAAGACCCTGAGTCTCATCCCAGAACCAAAAAAGAAAATAAAAACAACAACAGTAACAAAAACAAGCCCTAAACATCAAAGCAACTTATGTGCAGCCTCTGGGAAAAGTTGACAGAGCAATTGTTCCCCGAGGAGCGTATACACATGTGCACACATGTGCTAACCCTAGTCACCTGTAGCTAGCCCAGTCCACCACTCCTTCAGACAACCTTTCACAGTCTAAACTGCCAGGCAGACTGTAGTATTAGAAAGAGGTTTTTGTTTGGTTTTTTAATTACATAAGAATAATCTCTAAATTATTTTGGTTCCATGGGTATTAAACTTAGTTAGTAGAGCTACGATATAGCTCAAGTAGCAAAGTGCTTGCCCAGCAAGCGTAACATCCTAGATTTGATCCTTAGTACAAAAATAAAAATACAGGGCCTGGGAAGATGGCTCAGTGGAAGAGTGCTTGCCTTGCATGCATGAGGCCCTGGGTTTGATTCCTTAGCACCACATAAGCAGAAAAAGCCAGAAGTGGCGCTGTAGTTCAAGTGGTAGGGCGCTAGCCTTGATCTGAAGAGCTGAGAGACAGTGCCCAGGCCCAGAGTTCATGCCCACAACTGACCAAAAATAAATAAAAAACAGTCGGGTACCAGAGGCTCATGCCTGTAATCCTAGATACTCAGGAGGCTGCAATCTGAGGATCGCAGTTCAAAGCCAGCAGGAAAATCCATGAAATCTCTTATCTCCAATTAACCACCAGAAAATGGAAAGTGACACTGTGGCTCAAAGTGGTACAGTGCTAGCCTTGAGGAAAAAGCTCAGGCACAGTGTCCAGGCCATAAGGTCAAGCTCCACAATGGACAAAAAAAAAGCAAAGCAGTAAAGAAGTAGCAACTACTGTTAAATGGGCAGAGAAAGCTGCTGGCACTCAAGCACTTTACTAGGACCATGCTCCGATGAAAGTCCACTTCAGCCCCGCAGCAAGGGTCTCGGGGCTTCATCTGAGGCTTCCGTACAAGAGCTAACTATCGCAGTTATCTAATTCCATCAAGTTTGGAATGGCAGCCAAACCAAACCAAACCATGTTTGCAAAAAGAAGCTGCACACTGTTCTTCAAATGCAAGTATAAAAGCACATCCTCATTCCTGTCAGTGTACAGCAATAAAGCCCACCCTTCTGCACTGAGCTGAAAGAGATCACGTGCAGACATGTATCCAACGGTGACCGCAAAGAAGTCCGCTTAGAGGCAGGTGAAACACCTATTTACCCGAGGAGATGAAGCAGGCCTGAGCGCACTGGGCCCCACCCTCGCTCGCCCCTCCTACCCCAGGATGGAATGCGCACTCCACACAGCCAGGCAAGTACTCTGCCCTGAAATACAGCCTCCGTCCCCACAGCCGTTTTTCATAGGGCTGTGGGCTAAGTATGATTTATATCTCTGTAAAATAGTTGTACAACAAAAAGCAAAACTGAATATCCACATACAACATCTACCATATATGGTTATTTAGGCTTAACACATTTACTGACTTTTTTTTTGACCAGTCCTGGGGCTTGAGCACTGTGCCTGCTCAAGGCTAGCACTCTTACACTTGGGCCACAGCACCACGTCTGGCCTTTTCTGTATATGTGGTACTGAGGAGTCAAACCCAAGGCTTTGTGCATGCTAGGCAAGCGCTCTACCACTAAGCCACATTACCAGTCCGACTTTTTTTTTGGTAGTGGGGTTTGAACTCAGGGCCTGGGCACGGTCCCTGAGCTCTTTCCCTCAAGACCAGCACTCTACTACTTTGGGCCACAGCACCACTTCCAGTTTTCTGGTGGTTAATTGGAGATAGAGCCTTACAGACGTTTTCTTCCCTAGCTGGTTTTAGCCATGATCCTCAAATCTCTGCCTTCTCAGCCTTCTGAGTAGCTACAATTGCACAAGTGAGTCACTGGTGCCTGGCTTTATTATCTTGTATAGCTACATAAAGGTGTTTCATTCACCATGCCAATGTATATGTGTGATGCCTCTTGAACAGTGTCACCCCCCCTCCCATCACTCTCCTCCGCCTCTCCCAACTCTACCCATCCCTCAAGATGTCTAGTTCCATTTTCACATACAAACACCAAGTATTTTGACTATTTGCCTACCATTCCACTTTCCATCTGTCTGCCCCACTCCCCTTGAGATCCACCCATAGTCATGTGGGGGGATGTGGGCGAAAAGGAACCCAACTGTGCTGCGGGCGGGAATGTAAACTAGTACAACCACCGTGGACAGCAGTCTGGAAGTTCCTCAAAATTAAACATACAGGCCTGGGAAGGTGGCTCAGTGGTAGAGCGCTTGCCTTGCATGCCTGAGGCTCTGGGTTCGATTCCTCAGCACCACATAAGCAAAAAGAAAAAAGCCGGAAGTGGCACTGTGGCTCAAGTGGCAGAGCGCTAGCCTTGAGCTGAAGAGCTGAGGGACAGCGCCCAGGCCCAGAGTTCAGGCCCCATGACCGGACCCAAAAATAAAATAAAATAAAAATAACAAAAATTAAGCATACATCTTCTTATAAGTACCGCGTGCTAACCAATTGTGCCACTGTAGCTCCATAAGCATACATTATCTATATGATTCAGCCATACTACCCTCCTGGGCATCTCTGCAGAACATCACAAGCCAGGATACCATAAAGATAATTGCACACCCATGTTCATTACTGCTCTATTCACAATAGCCAAGTTATAGAAAAAGCCCAGATGCCCCACATTAGGTGAAGGGATCCAAAAGAAATGTGGTACCTATACACAATTACTGGCTCATGCCAGTAATCTTAGCTACTCAGGAGGCTGAGATCTGAGGAGTTCAAGCCTCAAACAACAAGAAAAAAAAAAAAAAACATCATGTGAAGGGAAAA